GTCATGATAGTTCTCAAGCTATTGCTACTCATTGTAGTCTTGGTTTGACTTATTTGGCATTAGGAGATACTCGAAATGCAGAAGAACAACAAATATTAGCTGAAAAAAATTATATTCGTGCAGCTGGTAATTTATTTTATTTAAAGAAAAAATTTTGCAACATTTAAGAGCTGAATGAGTCTGAACGTCAATATTTTTCGAAATTGTATACATATTTATTATTATTTTAAAACTAATTTTTTTGTATCAAAAAAGTATGCCTTTAATTCGTTTCCAAACTATAATTATGGTTAACAACTCAATAGTTTTTTAGAATTAAATTTAAAAATTATTCCACTATACTCAACTTTCAAATTAACACTTTTGACATATAGCTATTATTTCTTTGTACGATATCATAAATTAGGATTAGGCTATGTACTGAGTTAAAATATCGTATATTTTTTATCTAATTTTTATTTAGTATAACTATTTAAATTTATTTTAAAAAAAATTTCATTTCAAACATAATGATTCAAGTTTTTTATCTTTGTAGTTTCAATGGTTATCAATATTAAGTTCAATGCTATGATGTTTTTTTTGCAATAGTACATATTTATAAAATTTAATTTTTAGTGTCAAATAAAATTCCTCTAATTAACAATAGATAATATGTAAATATTGGACTTTTGAGTAATTTAAATTTTATTTATCATTATTTTCTATTTTTAATATTCAATTAGACTTTAAACAATAAATGAAAAAAAAATAGTTATACTATTATATTCAAAATAAATATTCCATAGTAAACAATCTAAATAAATTAAACTAGAATCAATATGCAAATAATATAAACCAGAATCAAAAATTATTTTAATAATTAAAATTTTGTCATAATAATAGTCATTTAAAAACCTAATGTAAATGATTGTACATATTACATTCATTTTTTCCATTGAATATTCGAAGTTTTGAAGATGTCTTCTTGTACTAGTATATAGCTTTTTGAGAATTACAAGTATAATCTTTTGATAAAAAAAAATACTTGCAAATTTACTATGACTAAATGGTAATATTAAATAAATATTACCATTTTTGCCCAACACCTGCTCAATTTATTTTTTTGCGTTTAATTTTATACGTAATATAACTTTTTTGTATATATATTTATTTGCAAAAAAAAATTGGAAAAAAGATTAAATTATATAAACTTTAGAATGCCAACTTAAAAATTATCAATCTGGTTTGAAGAAACAAAAAAAGTTTCAAATGAATGATATAGTAGGACTAAAAATTTCAGAAGTTGATCGGTCAAATACTTCACCATCAATCTTACCGTGTAAAATAATTGACGTATCGTATAAAGATGAATCATGTGGTCTACAATATAAACTTGCAACATTACATGGAAAAATTACTGATTGGTTTTCATCACTTGATTTAATTGATTTATGACAAACAATTTCATCTGAACTACGAGAATTAAATACAAATGAATTGACAGATATTAGTTTCATTCAAGCTTGTCAAGCATTTACAAAGTTCAAATCAATCAATACTTGTAAATGTACTGGTTCCTGTGATACGAATCGTTGTCCATGTAAAAAAAATCATTATTGTGTTGTACCAAATGTCATCGTGGTAAATGTATTTCATGTAAAAACAATAATTAAGTAATACGCATTGATATAATTTCAATTTTTTTCAATTAATAGTTTTAAATAAAGTTTACTTGAGAGAAATAGTGTCATTTTTTATGGTTTTTTAAATTTAAAAAAGAATGTTTGACAGTATTATTCAGCACTACAAAAGGTAAAATAATGAAATTTGGTAAGAATAACTACATTCAATACTTTCTAATAAGGATTTGCGATGGGTATGTGAAAGCATTTAATTTTCTAAACATATGAAGAAAATATAAAACAAAAATTTAAAAAAAAATGTTTTGAAGATTAAACACTAATGATCACAAATAAAATATTTCATTGAATATTTATTTAGAAAAATGGTTAATTCAAATACATATAAATATATTCTTTGATAGAAATTCAAAATATCAATACTGGGTAAAAACTTTTTTTTTTAGTTGTTATTATGTGTGATTCAAGCAAATAAAATTTCTGTACTGATGCTTAATTTTACATAACAATGGAGCGAATGACTTATGATAAAAATTTTTGTCGTTTCTTGTAGTGAATCAATAATAATCTATGGTACAACATAATTTACCAATTGTTATACTTTAGGTGATGTATGTAAAGATGTAGATTTTTAAAAATTTTTAAAAGAACAAAATACATGTTTTTTTTTAACGAATAAACTAAACAATATTAGTGAGATTCTATTACCTAGAAGATAACTTTATAAAACAGATCCTTGCTCATTATTAGGAGATGTTCGATTAATAATTGATATTTTGATACGTGTTGAAGCAGTCGATGTTGTAGAAAATGTATTATTTCATCTTGTAGAACTTTGTTTGAGTAAACGAGATTATCAAAGACAGAAAAAAAAATTAAAAAAGTCAAAACAAAAAGAAAATTGTTTTCAAAACTGTTGTGATGTAATTACGAAAACAATCTAGTTTACAAATTTTTGATAAATATCTAAATAAAATAAGATATTATAGAATTTTGGATTATTCACTATAATCCACTATTTGATCTGACAAAGTTTTCAAAAAAATTTCCATTTGGCACTTCTATGTAAATTTTATCTATGTGTTGCCACATCACTGTTTAATATATTTCCATTGTTACTTAAATATATACCGAATTCTTTACTACGTATAATTTATATTATTTATCGAATTATTTTGAAAAAAATTTTATTGTATTTTTAAAAACATTGAATCCTTTTTAGTATTGTTTTAGATTTACGATATAAATCAAACCTCATGATTATGCTCCCGCGCCTTCTTGACATATACAGACAATATATATATTTATTGATCAGAGTATCCAGTTAGATAGGATAGCCTCATTAATTTATTTTTTGATAGTTTCCACTATGTATGAAAAAAAGTTTTGTTTAATATTTGTTACAGTATGTACATAATGCAGATCATTTATTTTTATTCAAATTCTGTCTTTTGTAAATAAAGAGACTTGTTTGTCGATATTTTTCTTAGAGTCATTTAATCAGAAATATAGTTTTAATCAATTGATTTTCGACAAAGCTTTAATAAATTTTTATTTAGAAGAAAGAGACTTTGAAGAAAAACAAACAATTCACGTTATCCATTTAAAGCAATTGATTTAAAAAATCATTTTTTTGATATAAAGTTGAAATTATCTAAAAAAAACAATTGATGATGGTATCCTGTACATATGACTATTGTCATATATATCACGAATTATGAAAATATATTTGACCTGAACTCTGATAATACACTTTATATATTAGTAATATTTTATTATATCATTTTGTTACATTTTGTTTACTAATTATTAGTATTCATTTATTATTCAAATTAATATTTGCTTAAAAAAAGTATTAATGTCTTATTGGTAGGATTGAACTATATTCGATCACTAAATTAATAAAACGACGTATAAAAAATAAAAAATACGTGAAGGTGACATGATTCATTGTTTTATGATCACATAACAATGTATGTCCACGATAATTTAAGAGACTTTCAAATGCCGAGTTAAAATTTGATAAGTCGTAATATTGACAGGTTATTTTTTATTCACAATGAATAAGAACAAGATGAACATCTGTATTAAATTAATAAAGAGTAACATAATTAGATACATTTGAAGCGAGATTGTGGCTAATAATAACTAGTAGAAACAACACTACGTATATTATTATTATGATAGTATATCTTTTATTAATTTTACAAAGGAAAAGTATTTTAATAAAGAAAAAAAAACAACAAGGAAAATAGAAGAATAATTAAAGAGCGACATTTGATTTTTTATATCTCAGATGCATATCAAGAATTATTATTATTTGTTTTTCTACTATAAATAATAGTCAAATATATTTTCAAAGTTCAATCAAAAAATATTTTTAATATACATTTTAAATTCATATGATTGTATGTTCCTTCTCAGATATGTTTTCATCACTGATCCCATAACGAAAAATATCAATAACTACACATCTTGATGGTTTGCTTTGCACTGTTGATTCATAAGTTGTATGTGTATATATTCTCATAATGAGTACTTTCAAATATCGATAAAATGAATGACTAGAATAAGAGAGTTCATAGAAGTTCAATCCGATAGGTTCAATTGCACATGCTAATGTTCCTTTTTCTGTTGTTATAGAAAAAAACAATACAAATTCTTGACAGTGTTAATGAGAACATCGGTAATTGATAAAAAAATTGCAAATAAATTAGTGACAAATACTTAAAATAAATATTCCAATCTTAAAGGCGAAAAATAAATGATGTTGATAATCAAATATAAGCTATTATACGTTTACTATAACACCATTCATCAAGAAGATTCGGTTAACAATCGGCTTTTTTTTCTTTTTTTTTTTATGTCATCACTTCTCTTCTGTTCGATAATGTCTGTTTTTAACTGACTCCCTCATACTGGATACTCCAGATGTACAATCTCTTTTTTACGAAAAAATCTATTTATTTAAATGTATTGTTTTCCTTATTAAATAGTAATTCATGAATCAATTAAATTTAACTAAATAAAAGATAAGATCCCTTATTATATTGAATTCACCTCTATCGAATCTTAAAAATTTCAGCTGATTTCTTTTGAATATAGTCAAAATCTATTTTAGTGCCTATGAACGATTTCTCCTATTCAAAATCTAAAAGAAAAATCATGCAATTCCGTTTTAGATCTTATTGAATTCGATACAAATCGATTGTTTTTATTCTTAAATTAAATTGAAAGTATTCAAGTCAATTTACTCTTTGGAAACTGGTACCATTCTGCAACATATTATTATTCTGTATTGTTATCTAGACTACTCAAATATATTATTTATATACTTGAATTATGCATGCATTGTGTATCATAGAATTGTAATAAGTTATTCGTTCTAACATAGTATTCGCCGTCAACGTAACTCAAAAAAGTTTGCGAAGATGCACGAGTAAAACTAAATTTATAAGGAGCATCTGAACGAACAGTGGTATTCAATATCCGACCTATTTTTCAACAATGTCGGGTTTTTTTTGTTAAAAAGCTTCACTATTCATCAAACATGATTTATGGATGGTTTCAATCATTGTTATTAGATTTATGATCTTATAAATATTATAGTTTTTCATGATTTTTTAATTCTATTATACGATATTACATGGTTAATAAAGGAAATGAGTTTACTTGTTATCAAATCTTTGGACATATATTATGATGTAGATGTCAAAAAAGAAAGATCAACATATTTGGTTTCTTCCTGTATCTGTATAAATTTTCACCAAATAATAATTATTTTTGTTCGTATTAGTAAACAGACATCAACATGTTTTTCAAGATATAAACATGTTATCTAATTTTGACTAGAAATACACAATTGTAAATAAATTCAATGAATTAATTAGTCTGATTGTATTCATTTTTATGTAAAAGAGAAAAGAAAATAAACTAATATAGTAAGATACTTAACACAGACATCGAATTCTTCTACATTTTTTTTATCAAACTACAATTGATTATTCATATGATTACAAAATTGAACTATTGATTAAAATGAAAATGATTCGTATCAAATTTTGAATGAATATATTTATTCATTGCATAGCCATTGAGAATTTATAGATTGAACAATAAGACAGAAAGTCATTAGATGAACCTTGCGAAATTTAATACTATTAATACAATCAATATTCTGTTAAGGTCTGCCTTTAAATCATGTACAGCATTATATAGAAAGGAAAAAAACCTAGAGTAAATAGAGAAAAAGCTACGGAATAAGTTTTTACTGACCGAATGTATACATTATATAAATTATTTTTCCAACAATGTATTAATGTAAAATAAAACATCTGAAACAAAACAAAAAACGAAAATAATTTTATTTGAATTTCTATTGTATTTCGATATTTGACCATTTTAGCATAAGAAAGTGCTGATGTAAGTGTTTCGATTTTCTTCGATTCCTTAAAAATGCAAACAAATAAAATATTTTCTTCGTTTTTTGTTTTTATAATTATTAAACTACTTTTGTAGGAATTTGTGTTTCAGCCATATCTAATTTTACAATTGTTTTTTTTAGTTCTTCATATTCAATTTTGCGATGAATTTTATGTAAACCGAAAAATGATATCTACGTTACAAATAAAAAAAATTGTAAAATCAAATGATTTATTTTAATAAGATTATTAATTAAATTTTACTTCGATCTAGCCATTAACTAAGATGGTAGACTTTCTGAACAAGTTATATATTCAATATAGGTATCTGATTTTGCATATTTTCCTTCGTCTAATCTCAACGAAATAATTCAAAATAAAATAATAGAGCACGTATTTTTTGACAGAAAAATACACTTACATTTAAAATAAAAAATCCCATCGCTTTATGAGATATATAAGATCAAATCGGACCATCATAACCAGCATGACGTCGATAAAGGAAAATGATTCAATAATTATTTTTATTATGCAATTCTAAATTATTTTCGAATTTGCTGGTTTAAAAAAAAGCAAGTTTTATCTTTTACTACTTAATTAAATGCAATCAAGTAGTTATAAAATAAAAAATTTCACCTGTTAGTTTTATAACAAAACCAATAAAGCCTTTTTCTAAACCTTTCGCTAACTCAAAAGACACCAGTGTTTTTTTTCACACCTAATAAGAGTTTAATTGGAACCATTTTAATATCACCGATGGAACCCTTTATAATAAAAACAAATAAATAAAATTTAAAATCAAATCAAACACTGTCAACATATCTTTAATAACATTTTTTCCTCCTAGAGCAATATATGGGTCGTCGCTCTAGCTGCTAGTCTTTTTGTCTTACACGGGAAACTCTATAATTGTCATCAGATGATAATGTAGCCAAACTCTTTCCAAATATACCAATTATTTGTGAACACGCACCAGTAGCACCACCAACAACTGAACCAAATAATGTCTAACAACAATTCCTATACTTTCGGCAAACTCTAGTGGACTGAAAATTTATTATTTTACCTTATGTATACCATAGAAAAAATTATGGTACATAAATAATTTATCAAACTTTTAATTTTTTAAGCATATATATAATTAATTATTATAATTTTATTTTTTAATTTTTTAGATGAAGTCGCTGTAATCTATATTTGTCTTTCAAAATGGTTTTGCCTAACCCCGTATTTAGCAGTGAATAACATAATATTCATAACAATCATCAATGAAATAAAACTTGTACATTAAATTCAGGATCGTCGTTTCTTATCTCTATAAAGAAAGTTATTCTAGAAATAAAATATCTCTAACGAAGAAGCTTATTGAAGAAAGAATTTGCTCAGGGCAAGTCGGATGTTTAACTTTCTTTCTAATTTGATAATGTTTAATTTTAATGCTAGTTGTAAAGAAAATTTTAAAAAAGTAATTATTCATGCTTAATAATCTATTAATATTTATATCAAGCTTTTACAAAAAACCTTACTGTCAAGGACGCTAACAAATTTTAGAAAAATATGTATCAGTTTTTAAATCAAATAATTAATTAGGGTTTTTTATAATCGATTGTAATTATATTCAAAAACTTTTGACTTGACACAATTCTTGTATATGTTAGAAACTTTTTCATGGCTCATCATTCTCAATTATTGTTAATTAGAAAACAACATCGGACATTCTCATTTCTTTGTCAACTCATTTAATTTTCTTTTGAATTTGCGTGTTGATTTTATGAGTAAGTTCGCCATTCTTATTTAGTAATAGTCTTTTATGTTTTTATTTCATCTGAATAGTATTAATATCTACGGCAAAAAACGAAGAAAAATTAAAAGAAATTTAGTATCAGCGAAAACAAGAAGAAATTTGAAAAAAAAATTATTCATCATATAGCATTGATTAAATGATTAAGACAACTAATTTAACTTTCAATTTTATTAATACTTAGAGCTATACATTATCTGATATCAAAATTGAAATGCAAGAAATGTAGTGAAATACGTCCTTGAATTTAAAAAAAATAGATTTTTTCTCATTCCCTGTCATCAAAGCTTCTATTTATCTAGTTAGAAATAAGAAACTTCCGTATGATTCTACAACTTTGCATTTTTGATCATCTATTGAATGAGCACCAATGAAACTGTGTTTTTGCAAATGGGTTGAATAAAAAAAACTTAAAAATGTAGTTCATTCATTTATTTTAGATGCAAATGGAATTATGTGAAGAAGTTTTAGATATTATTCAATAAATTATTAATACGATTTATACCAACACGTACGTTTAATACTATACTAAATATTAGTATTTGTGACTTGATTTTTTTAGAAGTATTAATATATCAATAAATACAGCATCAAAAGTTACTATATTCGTCATGAATAATAATCATGATGTTTCACATACAAGTAAGTTTTAATATATCATAAAAGTTTATTTTAGATATTTCAAGTAAATATCCTAATTGATATATCAAAAAAAGAAATTCAATACGGTCAATCTAATATTTAACAAAAGCTTCTTTTAAACACGTTTCATGAAGTAAAGATAACTGTTGTAGTGATGATTTATTTTTTATAGATAACGAACCGATTTTAATAAAAATCTCTGAAATTAATAACAGTATTACATATTTGTAAGTTTTTATTTATATAATATTGTGTTAGCATGATATTATTTAGGTTTCAATTATGATTTCTTTTTGCAAAAATAAAATATAATATACTATTTGTTTCTCAGCTAATAACTGTTTATTGAGAAAAAAAATTTACTTTTAGCAATATTGAGTGATATGTATAGGTAGGCCTGTGACAGTTCACGGTTCTATGATCCGATTTTCTTTAAGAACTAGGTCCATTGATTACTTCCTTTTTTTTTCTTTTTGAAAATTGGCTCCAGTGACCAGTTATTTGTTTTTTTAGAAACTGGGTTCATTGATCAGTTCTTTTTCTCGAGAACCAGATGAAGGGATCAGTTAGTATGCTTCATCAATAATTTGATTTCAATTATTTGTATATGATTCAGAATATCTTGTTTGTTCGACCTTCTTCTTGAAATCTTTCAATTCTTGTTTGCATACTTATTTTTATTATTTTAATTCTTTTAACTTTCATTTAATGAAATAGAAAAAAAAAAGATAAAAGAACAAGTGAAAAATCTTCAACAACTAGTGGAACTATTTCAACTTTAACTAAACAATAAAATTCTTCACAAACTAATGAAAATTAATCTTTCGATCAATGATTTCTCAATTAATTGGCAACAAGTATTCATAATCATATAAATAAAATTATTCTCTTAATCTATACTCATTTATTTTTTCTTTATATACAACAAATACGATTGTGTTAAAGATGATTCATTTGATCTTAAAGTTAATACAAAGAGTTTTACAACTGTTGTCTAACTTTTGATTATCATATGAATATATATATGTATATATCTATTCTCATTATTGAACAAAATTAATTTGTTTCGTCAATACTAGTTAAGTTTATATATGCCGTATTTACCTCAACTTCTGGTGTCAACAAATAGGCAGGTGAACTCGGAGATATTCTACATCAAATTTATTTTCGAAACATTTCTTAATTCCTTTCTTTTCTTTATTATCTCGTTCAAAAGTGTTTTATTTTTTAGCATTATTATAAATTTCATTGAATAAATAAAAGTTGAAATGATTTGTTACTTTTCTCCGACATCGACAAACTAGATAAATCAATAAATGAAATCGTTCTATAATGAAGTCTTTTTTTTATAGAATAAAACAATATTACGTTTTCAGCGCAATTCGCTTTATTCTATCAAAATATATGAGAAAAGTGAGCACAAAAGAACATGAGAAATGAACAACAGGAGCATACCCAGGTGGATCATTCCGGCCGTCGGAAACGGCGTCGTATCCGGCCTGAAACGACTATAAAACGGCGAATTACTGCAGTAATTTTGGCCTTATTTCGCCGTAATCCGTCATACCGTATTACGACCACCGTCTATCGCTAGAAAACGGCGGTCGTTTTTTTCCGGTTTTGCTTCCGTAATCTGGTATGACGGATTACGGTGCCGTTTATCGACGTTTTACATCGTTAATCGCCGTTTTATAGCCGTTTCAGGCCGTTTACGACGCCGTTTTATTGGACCTGGGTAGACAAACACGTGTAGAAAAAAAAAGATGAGCATTGAAACAAGAACATGAGAAAAAACGATGATGATGATACTTTAGTCTTGTTTTAACATGTCCATGTTTATCGTCATGAAAATTTGAGTAAATTCCCAATCTTTCTCTCCTTTAAACGATAAGCTCATTTTTGCTGCAATAAAAATAAAAATAAAAAATAAATAGATGCCAAGTATGAAGCTAACTTACAAAATTCAAGACAAAATAATTGAATAAATTCTTTTATATCTTCTTTTTTTTTCGTTTGTATTTGATCATTGAATGCACGAAATGCTGTTAAACGATTGAAACAGAGATTCGCGAGAATACGAACAGCTTGTTGTTGAATTTCATCTGGTTGACGATGATGGCTTAATAACAAACTGATTATTGTATCATCATTTATTGCACAATTTTCCATGAGACTAATGATTGATGATGTGGCTTTAGAAGGACGATGATCACCATCATCGGATTCATTCAAGTAAAGGTTCATCAACAATGAATCAGCAACTCGTGCCATTATACAATAAGTCTACTTATATAAAAGAAAGGTTAGATGATTGTTTTGTACTGTTCAACACGCAAGAAAATCATACCTATATATATGTAGACGGATTATTTTACGTCTTTTCTCTCTTTTAAACTAAGCACCAATGAAAAACAAGAAAAAAAAATTCATTTCGCGCGGTCATACTGCAATAGGTCAAACAAGCGAACGTGACTGAATTGTTATACGGTCGTCAGCTTTCATTTTTCTCTTGCACAAAGTAAAACAAACAACTTTTTGATGCGAAATAAATGAAATGAAAAGCATTTCTTTGATCTAAAAACTCAGTTAAACTAAAAATTTAAAATTGTAATTTATCCATTGGAGCCCTGTCTTCCAATATAAAACATTGAAAGAAACAATTTTTTATTTGAATATGGAAGAAAATTAATTTGTTTCTTGTCTTTAGAAAAAATATTCTTTTCGTGGTTCTTGTAGTTTCTAAGCAGTGTCAGAATTCTTTTTATCTTTTCACCTTAAGATAGAAGCTATGGATTATGATAACAGATATCAGTAACTAATTTATAGATGCTAAATTCAAGGTAGATTGATTTTTTTATGTAGTGGAGATTCTAAAGGGTGGTCAGAAAGTTTCGACCCCTCTCAGTAAATCGATGAT